CGGGCTTCCGCCTATTCATACTGTAAGTAAACCTTGGGGCATTCGATATTGGATCCCGAGCTTCTCCTCTCCGCCAAAGACCACTGACATGTGGTGGTAGAAAGAAGGAAAGGCAGTGGGAGCGGGATGGAGAACACATGCAAGGGGTTTCTATTTTTCCACGTTTATTTGTAGTCCCCATTTGACACACGTTGGAATTTTTATTCGTGTTCGTATTATTATTATAATTTGTCTGGAAAAATGGCCTGAAAACAAGAGTAAAATTAGTTGCACTACAAACAAAAATTGCATTGTCATCTTATTAAAAGTATTAAATAAATTGAATTTCCAATTATTTTCTTTTGATCAGTGCAAGCCATGATATTTTCAAAATAGTAAAAAAACAATTGAAAAAATGCATACCGTAGAAAAAGAAGCCAAAATTCTTTGTTGCAGTAACCAAGGAGAAAATTATAGCACCAAAATGAAATCACAACCTTAATTACAGTTCTAAAAAATGTTAAATTGATGCCAACAAATGTTCTGCCACAAAATCAATATAACCTATACTCTGACCAAAAAAGATCCCTACAATATGATCCTTCAATCTGTACATAAAAGAACATATATACACATCAGTACACCTGAAAATAAGCATGTTTAAGTTGGTAGTTCACCCCTAAAAGAACATAATATCCTTCCTGGTAATAAATCTGATAACAAATCAAGTTTTAGATGTTTCTTTTACACAATGATAGCAAAAACATATTTATGAAACAAATCTACTCAAGAGAAAAATCATAGTAACAACTAAAATAGAGCAAGAAATGTTCCATTTCTATTTGGTTGGTCCAGATTTACCTCAATGAGATGTGAATTGATTCTTTTTTTTTCAAATGAATTGAGACTTTCACTTTTCTATTTTTTTCTCAACAATCCAACTAACAGAATTGAAAAAAAATAATAAGTATACATTATTTCATATTTTTCAACAAAAAACACTATTTACCACTCACATATTTTTTATTACCAATCACCAATAACAACTAAATACAGCAGTATGGATGACTAATACAACTTACAAGAAAGGCATATGCCAAAAAGTTAATTCAACTCCGCTGCATAACCCATAACAGTTGAATGCCAAGAAGTACGAAATGCCAACAACGTAAATGAATCAACACGTTATCAACATACCTAAAATCCAATGTTCGCATCCACGCCAGTGAGTTTGAAGTTCAAAGTAGAGCCATGTATCTTTTATTTAAACATACAAATAACACTAACTAACAAAGATTTATACACTCGCAAGTCATTTGTATAGACAATAACATGTACGCCAAAGACATGCAAAGAGCTGAAAAATCCTACCAAACGATGACCTTTAAGCATTTATTTAGGGTCCATAGACACATAATAATAATAATAATAATAATAATAATAATAATAATAATAATAATAATAATAATAATAATAATAATAATAATAAAAACTTTTCCATAACTCAACCATCACTTCTTTATCCAGAGAAAAACTGTGGTTAATAAGTTTTAAGTAACACAAATTTCGTAATACATTTTCACTATGATGTCCTATTGGACTCCTCAGGACGTGCATTTATCCAAAATAGCTAAGAAAGTCTAGATCGAGAGGCAGCATTTTTAGAATAGGTCCACATAGGAGTTCGAATAATTTTATTAAAGTAAATCACATGTTGTTAAGCCGACAATCAAACCTTCTCCAAATACACATAATATACAAATAGAAAGCAACTCTTGAAGGTCGACAATTACCAACGGAGTGATCTTCTTTGGGACTATCTTGATGTGAACATCACCTTCATCAGTATCATCAACTACAAGCTCCTCACTCTCAAGCAAGTCCAGTAGAGTTTCAGTAGAAACAACAGCTCCATTCTTGCTAACAAGGCCCTCCTCTGTAAGTATGTTCAAGACTTTCACGATGATAATGCCTTTCTTCTTGGAATTTTGTTCTCAATTAGTAAAGCTTCTACTAATTCATCATCTGTAATTTTTGAAATATATAAAAAAATCACAGTCATAACTTTAGAGGATACTTATATGAAATGAATCCAAAAGTTAATAACATGTTTCTTCCTTTTTACA